TCAGCGTGTTCTTGAAATAGTTGACTCCTTCATCAGGATCTTGCAAAAGGTCGTTTTGGGGGACTACATATATGCATCTCCCGTCAATCTGCTTTTGAGCAGAGGTCCTCTCTTGGGTGCTTCCACCGTTGTGATGGTCACCCAGTCGTCCACGAGTTCTTCATACCTGAACCAGCTGACTTTTCCGTCGTACGATGGCGGCTGCTTGGCGGTCACCGATAAATTTAGTGTTTCCTCCGTATAGCCTGAATTTTGGCCATACTCGAATAGGCTTCCATATGATTCCCTTGGATCTCTGCGGAAAACCCGCTCCGCTACCACAAATTGAGGCCCACTGCCCCAGGTGCCTATCCCAGAAGGGAACTGGTACACTGTGGTAGTAGAGGTCGTTGTTGGTCCCTGGATCTATTCCGGAGAGAATCCTATATGCCACTGTGGATGATTGGAGGATGGATTGTCCCTGGTGGATTGTCTTATGGATAATCCTGTAAGCGGCCTGCTAAGGTTCTTTTGCTTCACGCGATCATGAATGATGCAGTGATTTACAAAAGGGGCCTTGAGCCAAATGTTGCGGGAGATCAATTGGTCTGAGAACCAAACACAGGGGGGGGGGGGGCGTAATCATCAGAATCGTCGTAACGATCATCAACTTCATCGTCGCGGCGATCGTCATCATCTTGTCACCCATGGTCATCACGCGACGATAATGGCAATGTAGTCGTGACAATGGCTGTGATGATAGTCGTCACTACCCATCCCCACCAACCGCCTCAAGCGATGGTGAGAATCGTCGCTACGTATCACTGCGCGTAGCGACGACCAGAATCAGGGTTGTTATCATGATCAGTGTCATCATCGTCAACATCTATAGATCTCGGCTGTGACGTTAGGTGAGGCGGCGCTTTCGACCCTGGTGGCGCATAATCCTCATCGCGATCATCATCATCATCATCATCGGTGGGTGGGGCAGCGCGATCTTGAGCCCCAACCGTCTCTAATCCAACCAGGACGGGGCCAAATTTCAAAAGCGTGTAAGGGAAGCAAAGGTTTGTCTGGCTGGCACCTCGGATGTGTTCTGTCTTGAGCCAACGATTTCGCGGCGTGGAGTCATTCATGACGCGCGCAGTACTGCTGATGTTAGTGAGACGCTGGTCTAGTTAATTTGCTACTGGTTGGGCGCCATCCTCGGCCTTTGCTTCTCGGGCTGGAAGATGAGAAATCAGTGGCGGTCGGTGATTGCAATTGACACGGCTGTTTTTCCACCTCAACAGTTGTCGATGTAGAGGATAGCAGTGGATAGGCCACAGCGTTCTGTCCTTGGAATTGCTTGCTTTGCGTGTTTCATCGCAAGGAGAAAGGAATGCACACACAGAGTGATCCTGTTTTGTAATGCTGCGGCCAGACGATGAATGAACCTTTGGCCGTAATAGGGGACAACGTGTGGCGTAGAGCGTTGGACCACAGGCCCATTTACAATTGAGATGGTCAAACCTTTGTTTCATTGTTCGGGCCCGAACATGTTCGGGCTCTCTACGCAACACGTGCATTACTCAAGCGACATGATGCTACCATCGAGGATGTCCATCCTAGGATATCAAAGGAAGTTGAGTGAGAAAACTTCCGTAAAAACAAAAAGTGGAGTTACAGACATGCGAAACACACGAAGCGTAGCTCTGTTTTGCGCACGGTTCGGCACGGGCGCGCCATGGGTTTACCACGGCGGTCTCAGAAAGCTGCCCAATGGCACGGCCGTGTAAGGTTTTCAGTAGGCTTGAACTGAGTGGCAAGCGCAGCACTCTTGGCAACCTGAGATGCAGGTTACGTGGCAGGCGCAGCATTTTGTTCTCGTGGGCGTCTGAATGTGTGGCAGGCGCAGCACTTTGCGCCGAAGGCGAGCCGCGGTTTGCGAATCGCACTGGAGTGGATGCGCAGATTTCGCGGCAAGCGCAGCACTTTCGGAAGCTCGCGTACAGATTTCGTGGCAGGCGCAACACGTTCGCAAGCTCGAGTACAGATTTTGTGGCAGGCGCAGCACTTTCGCAAGCTCGAGTACAGACTCCACGGCAGGCGCAGCACTTTCGCAAGCTCAAGTGGCCAAAAGGTGCGTGGCATGTTTGTTTTTCTTTGGGCGCATGTCCTTTCTAGAAACTTCCGCCCTCCAGCCCTGCTGGAGCAAACCTGGGCCATCCGTGTATCTGCGTGGTTCGTCATCAACAACGCACCTACCAACACAAGTCAGACCAAGCATAGCCAGCTTCCTGATCGCATCACGGAAATTTCTTTTGGGCGCCATGTCCATTGCACAGCCTTTGCAAACCCGCATCTGCCACTGACTTTAGCTTCATTCGTGCTAGCAAACATCGCCACATGTTACTTCAATACTCTGAGAAATGTTTTTGGTCCCGGGCCGGGGCCGGGGCCGGAGCCGGAGCTGGGTTGGAGCCGGAACCGGACACCGGAGCCGGAGCTGCCGGAGACGGCAGGCGCTTCCTTGAGCGGATGGGCGAGATTGCGAAGTTCTGCCTGTGTCAGAACTCGGGTGTCAATGACGGCCGGGTCCTTGCCTTCTGGGGAATGTGTTTTCGTGTTTTTGCGTGATTGCTTTATTTGGAATGAGAACGAAGAGTGATTAGGGAACAGATGCAATGGATGCAGGACTGCAATGCACAGTTTTGACACAAAGCGGCTATAGAGCCAAAACTAGCTTGCCATTTGCAACACATCGGCTATCACTTCTTGATGCGCGCGTAGGCCTTGCTGGTGCGCTTGGCGGGCTTGGAGTACTTGTTAAAGCGCATGGCCTTTTTGCGAACTCCTTACTGAAAAGCGTGAAGACTGCCCTTGAGGATGGCCACAGAGCCCGCTGTCGAGATGTAGCCTGGCGCAGGGCGAGCCAACTTCATAAAGACGGCGTGGGTGCCTGCCAAGATGGAAGACTGAGGTGGCTCATCACTCAGGTCGTCCAAGACCGCACGGAGCTGATGCTGCGCGAATGAGGATCGTCTCCTGATCGCCGACATCACTGAATGCCTTCTCCTTCTTCTTCTTCTTCTTCTCCATCTCGCCACCACCGATCTCACCATCGGCAACAAGTTTTGTTGAAGAACATCTCCTGAACAAGTCAAAGTTGCAAGCGCGGCCTAGGGGGTCCAACGCCAACAGCGAAGAAGTGCATGACTGCGCAGGTGCAGACTGAGTCATACCTATTCGCCAGCGCAGTCATAGTGTCATCATTCAAAACTATCGAGATCGCGCTGCGCCAGCTTCTCAGACTGCCATCACGGGGGATACTCCTGTGGACCCACCGAAGTTGTTTGAGGATGCCCTTGTCCTTCTCGCCGTGCTGGATTTTGACGTCCCAACCAATCTGCAGCACCCATTGAAGCCCCTTGCGAGCTTGCTTCTTGTTGACATCGTAGACGACATCGATGAAGTGCATGATAGACGGAGAATGACGGAGAAGACTTTGAAAGCTGTAAAGAAGCGAGATTACAAAGGAAAATCAAACTACCATAGCGTCCAAATATGAGACAATGTGTTAGAAAGGCAGTGAAGCTCTTTCCGCGCCAAAGTTATCGGTGTCATTGCGCCCGCGAGAAACGGTCCCAGTGTGGGACATGGCCAAGATGATCAGCGGCTTCGATAGCCTGCGACAACGTCCGGTTGTCACCCATGATGACTGAAAAGTGACGAAAACCTGGAGAAAACTAACAAAAACAAAAACAGCCAAAGCTAGACACCGATTCTCCCGAAAGCGAGTATGAGAAATTCAGAAAGGCACTGCAAGACATGTTGCGCAAAGCGTCAGTCAGCAAGCGGCGACTCTTCATAGCAGCTTTTGTTCCACGTGCGCAAGCTGTGGCTCTTCAGCTGGACGACCCGCAGGTCAAGGCGATGTTACCCATGGCAACATCAGGCCATGGCTTGAGCCTTTATGAGACTTGACTCAGTGCAAACAATGACATAGAACCTGATCAAGAACTGCAAGCTCGACTGCAAGGAGGAGCCTGGTGCCTGAACAAGGATGATGCCCACCGTGAAAAACGAAGAAAGACCGTCGCTCAGAGCTCCAACGCCAAGAGGGAGATTCGCAAAGTCAAATCGCGAAGTTTTGCTGCGCAAAGATGACTGGCAATGGAAAGGCGCAACAAGGTTCACCACAAAGAAAACTACGAACATTTTGAGGAGGACTACGATCTCTGAGCGCAAGCAGCGAACCACAGGTTCTCGATGCAGCCAACGGGACAAGGACCTTGGCCCAAGGACCTTGGAAGGCAAGCGGCGCCAACCTTGGCAAGAAAATGATGCTGACAACGATGATCATGATCGCCTTGGCTATGACGCAGTATTGATGATGATGTTGATGACGCTGATGATGGTGATGATGATGAAGATGATGCGTGCGATGCCTCCAACGTCGCAAGCTGCCAAATTTGCAGCCGGAATGTGTATATTAGAAAAGGGACAAGCGCGAAGATGGTCACGATCATGATGATCGTGAGGGTCATTACGCATCCCGATGATGACGGTGACGATGGTGATCACTACGGATGATGGACGAGGATGATGGTGAGGATGAATGATGATCCCAATGATGATGCAGCAAACTGGTCGGCCCTCCAGTACTCATCCGCTTGTCTGAAGCGCACCCCCGCCAGCAAACGTCATGACCGAGAACATGCGCCTCCGCCTATTGAAGAATGAGCTCACCGCTGGGCTTCGACTCAACACTTTTAGAAATTTGTTGGGGCCTGTCTGCTTTTGACTCAGCGCTTTCGCGTTTGCAAAATAAGATTGTTGCAAAGGGCGTGCTTTGCATGCAATTGTTCGATGCACTCAGGCAGAGTCCTGGCATGCTTTGGGCACCAACAACTTGACATGGCCACCCGCATGCCAACTCGCATTGAACGCTCGATCGTTTGCGTCATTTTAAACCACCCGCTCGGCGGATCTACGCGCAGCCTTGCATTTAAATTGCAAAGGCTGAGATGCGAGCCCAGGCAGCAGTGGATTGCATCGAGGCCGCGTGTGAGGCCAGCTTTGAAAAACGCTCCGCTCCTTTCGTTCGATTCTTTTTCATTTGTTTTTGTGTTTTTCCAACATTTGTTTTGTGTTTTCATTTTGCTGTGTTTTGTAGCATTTCTCAGCTCCTGAGGCCATGTACGAAATGTGCGGACCTCGGCCCGAAGGTTGAAAGTCAGATCATGCGCAGCAGAGGCCGTCCTTGCTTTTGGCACCCATCTTCAAGGCACTTGACTCAAGCATCGCAAAGTGATCCGGGTGTTCCATCGCAGGCGGTGACTCAGGCAGTTGTCTTCGCGTTTCTCCTCTACGGATTCTTCGCGCTGTTGTAGCTTGGCATGGCTTGGCGTGGCTTGGCGTGGCTTGGCGTGGCTTGGCGTGGCTTGGCGTGGCTTGGCGTGGCTTGGCGTGGCTTGGCGTGGCTTGGCGTGGCTTGGCGTGGCTTGGCGTGGCTTGGCGTGGCTTGGCTTTGGCACGTTGCAGTCGGGTATGAGTTGGGCACTCTCGATGGCCGAGGTCAACAGCAAAGGTTTCGGCGCCGCAAGACGGACGATTGGTCGGTGCGCTTGGACACCTTCGCTGAGCCGCACACCGCACTCACCGCACTCTCCGCATTCACCGCATTCACCGCATTCACTGCATTCACTGCTCATGCCGTTTGCCCCGTCTGCCCAAGCCAGATGCCTTGTCTGGCCAAGTGCAGGGCGCCTGAGGCTTAGAGAGAAGTTGCATCAATTTGCCGCATCTTGCGTATTAAAGTTGGTTGCAACTGGTGCGTGCTAACTAATTGCAATGCAAGGTGGCTCGTCATCTTCAAATGACTCCTGAGCAGAAGCCATCCCCGTCATGTTTTATGCTGGCATCTTTGGAGGAATTCTCGAATGCTGTCAGGGCTGCGGCTGTTGCATATTTGCAAGCTTCTCAGAGTATAGTCTTGACATGTCTGGGCAATTTCTTATTGACTCATCCGGCAACCTGAGGTTTGTGGCACTTTGGGTCGAATGCTGGCTTCATGCTTTGTGCGTAAGCTAGGAAGACGTGTCAGACAAATGGGAGAGACACCAGGTACCAGTTCATCATAGCTTATGCCATGGCCAGCGACCAAGCTGAACGCTTGCTTTTCCAGAGTGCGCACTGACTGTGACTCGGGAAATCTAGGCCGAGTACCATTTGTCCACTGAAGATCACGAGGGCTACAGAGCCACCGGGCTGAAAATTCGGCTTTCGATTTCTTTGACCCGAACCGCCAAGCCCGAATTTGAGGAAGTTGGGGGTGGTTGCTGCGCGCTCTACGATGGCTTTCAGGTGCGGCATCATGCGGTGCCAGAAATGTTTTTTCTTCGCGCAAAAAGCGCCATGCCACACGCGCCGATGCCAGAGGTTGGGCTGACAATGCATGCTGGGTCGCTAGCCATGGGTTCGGCGCTCGAAGCCCTGCTATGGGCCCGGGCCTAAGCTGCGAGCTTGACAAGTCAATGTCCGTCAGGTCAATTGTTAATGACTCAATGACATTCACTCCATGACTCAATGATCATTGACTTACCCACGCCCACTTCACTTTCAGTGTCCGCAATGTCGCGCATCCAGAGCAGAGCTTGCGCTGCCACGTGTGAAGTGTTGGGTTGTCTTGAAGGGCTTTGATTCTGCCTGCAAGGTCCTCCAGATTCTTGTGAGCATTGCAGAAGCTGCCAACAAGGAGATGCGCAGTTGTCAAACATACCCAAAGCGAACTCCAAGAAAAAGGAGCAGGGCAACAATCCATGCGTGGATTGCTTGATGAGAGTTGGGTCCTCGGTCGGGAATGGGCCGAGGCGAGGCGACAGCAATTTGTGTTAGCCCAGCTTTATCCGCCTGCCCTAAGTGTCTGCAATGCTGCCTCGCCTGCTGCGAGAGCATTGTGCAGTTCTTGAACAAGAACGTGGCAGCCTGAGTTCTTCAAAAACGGAGTTTCCACATTCCACTCGGAGAGGCATATGTGGACATGGCGATCAAGTCGCACAATTACTGCACTTCCGCCAGGCCTGGCATCAGGCAACGAGACTATGAGACAATGAGACAGTCATACTGAAAGTGTTTGTCAAAACGCATGGTTTGAACCTTGTATGCCACCAGCAAGTGCACCTGTGACTGAAGCGATCAATCCTGTCCTGGATGATGTATTCTAACACTCAGGTTGGTGCTTCCTGCACTCCAAGCTAAACATGCCAAGCAGTCGTATTTGGTGACTTTTTGCCGCATCATTGGGGAACACAAGCAGAAACATATAATGTTACACCTCCTTTGCTAATAGCACCCTCTACAGCATGTCTTTGTCCGCAATTCAGGATCTTGTGACTGTTTTGGGGTCCTCAATTGCACCCAGGAAGAACCACAAAATGCACATTCGTTTTTTGCTCTCCTGATCTTGTTTGGCTCAGGCTGAACCAGGCCTCCGAAAATAAATATGGGCCAAACAAACAAACTTGGCAAACAAGTCGAGCAAAAAACAACGGGCAAACAAATCCGGGCAAACATAAGGATTTTTGGAAGTTGTCCCCAATAACTTCCTTACAAAAAAAGTGCAGGCAAACATTCCACAGCGCACATGACAATGGAACCCGCGAACCCGAGAGCGCGAGAATCCGAGAATCCGAACATCCGAGAATCCGAACATCCGAGAATCCAAGAATGCGAGAATCCGAACATCCGAGAATCCAAGAATGCGAGAATCCGAGAATCCGAACATCCGAGAATCCGAGAATCCGAGAATGCGAAATCGCGAGAATCCGAGAACCCCAAAATGCGAGAATCCGAGAATCTGAGAATCCGAGAATTCGAGAATCCGAGAATCCGAACATCCGAGAATCCGAGAATCCAAAAATGCGAGAATGCGAGAATCCGAGATCCCAAGAATGCGAGAATCCGAAAACCCGAGAATCCGAGAACCCTAGAATGCGATAATCCGAGAATCCGAGAATCAGAATCCAAGAATGCGAGAATCCGAGAATCCGAGAATCCAAGAATCCAATAATGCGAGAATCCGAGAATCCGAACATCCGAGAATCCGAGAAATCCGAGAATCCGAGAGTCCGAGAACCCGAAAACCCGAGAACCCGATAATCCGAGATTCCGAGAATCGGGGGTGTGAGAGCACCAGAATTCGAGAATTCAAGATCCCGAGCATTCGAGATTCCGAGAACTTGAGAACCCGAGAATCCGACACTCCGCAAATGCAAGAATCCGAGAATCCGAGAATCCAAGAATGCGAGAATCCGAGAATCCGAGAATCCAATAATGCGAGAATCCGAGAATCCGAACATCCGAGAATCCGAGAAATCCGAGAATCCGAACATCCGAGAATCCGAGAGTCCGAGAACCCGAAAACCCGAGAACCCGATAATCCGAGATTCCGAGAATCGGGGATGTGAGAACACCAGAATTCGAGAATTCAAGATCCCGAGCATTCGAGATTCCGAGAACTTGAGAACCCGAGAATCCGACACTCCGCAAATGCAAGAATCCGAGAATCCGAGAATCCAAGAATGCGAGAATCCGAGAATCCGAGAATCCAATAATGCGAGAATCCGAGAATCCGAACATCCGAGAATCCGAGAAATCCGAGAATCCGAACATCCGAGAATCCGAGAGTCCGAGAACCCGAAAACCCGAGAACCCGATAATCCGAGATTCCGAGAATCGGGGATGTGAGAACACCAGAATTCGAGAATTCAAGATCCCGAGCATTCGAGATTCCGAGAACTTGAGAACCCGAGAATCCGACACTCCGCAAATGCAAGAATCCGAGAATCCGAGAATCCAAGAATGCGAGAACTCGAGAACCCAAGAATCCGAGAAACGACTCCACGTATGCAAAGCGCTTGAGAAAAGGTACGCGCTGAGCACTGTCCCCACGCATGCCAAACGGTACGCGCTTCCGCTCCAGCGCACCCGCGCCCACGCCCACGCCCACGCATCACGCGCACGCGCACGCGTACGCACGCGCACACGCACCCACCCACAAACGCACGCACGCACGCACGCGCACGCGAACACACAAACACACAAAAGAAGAAATGTAGCTGCGGGCTTATCACTATTCCACAAGCAAGGTTCATGCACTCAGACAGTCTCTCAGCAGTACTCTTTCCTGTGCAGTCTTGAGCCATGCAGTTGGATGACAGTCCTGACAGTAGCAGTGCGCAGTGGGTTCAGTGTCCTTTAACACTCCCCCTTGAAACAGTATATCATCTTTTTCACAAGTGAACATTTCTACCGCAAAACACTCAGTTCCAGCGCAAACCGTTTCTCCCTGCTCATGGCCATTCTGCGTTGCATCTTCTTCGTGCTCAGTTCCGAATTGAGCGCCAAGGGTGAATCCTCATCGTGCCAGTTCGAGCCAGCTCTCAATCTGTTGCATCCGTCCATCTGGCAAAGCTATGAAAATAGGAAGTGAGTTCGGTCTTCTCCAGGAGCAGAGCCAACTTGCAGAGCCTGCACCGTTTTCTGGTACATTTCAGTCTCGGAAGCAGTGAATAGCCATGGGAAATCTGCCAGTCTGCCACGAAGCCGCTTGAGTTCCAAAAGGGTCAGCCGCAGAGTTGGTCCAGGCATCTCAGCATTTGCAAGACAGGCTGCAAGCCAGAGCTCAGTTCTCCAGTGTAGAAAGCTCAGTTCTCCAGATCTCCAGTGTTGATCACTCGGTCAATCTCCGGTTTATTGTTTGCCTTCTCTGACCTTCCAGCTGGATCGCATGAGATTCCCAGTCATCACAGTTGCAGAGAGAGAGTCCATCCTCTCGACTGTGAGTGAGCAGTCGGACTTGACTCAAGAGGTTAAACGGCGAAATAAGCAGTCTGCAGTTCGAGCATGTGTACATAGTAGACAAGTGAGGGTTTTCTGAAGCTACTCCCCCTCGACAGCATGCAGTTGACAGAACGTGAATTACGGTGTCCATCCTACTCAGCTCAACATTTGACGACATAACAGTATGTCATGCTCATAAACGGCTTGACTCGAGACAGACCAGATATCAGTGTGCGAATCAGAGGGGAGATGTGAGCAGTGGAAACAGCGCCCGGGAAACCAGAATGTCGCTCCAACAGTTCAGAGCCAAAACATTTAGTCATCAAATCGCCGCAGTTGATATCAGTGGGGGCCTTGAGTATTTTGATAATGCCCTTTGGACCAAACACTGCATGTGCAGAAAACACAGTTCTATATGCTCAGTTTTCTCACGCTGCGTTTTCTTCCGAAAGCCAAGCCGCGTTGCCATACTTTTGCCTGCAGTGCTATCAGTGTGTATGTTGATGTGGCAGTGCTTGCGCATCTCCGCTTCAGTGAGCAGATTCCTGATGCACAGTGCTTCGAGCGTGCCTTGTCCGATTGCGTACAGTTCAGCAGCGCAATCGTTCGTGGGTGCGTGCGCAAAACGTCACAGTGACTCCCAGTCAGTGTGATGGCAGTGCCACTCCTGCTTTTCGTATTTTCCTAGTCGTGCGGCATCCAGCCCAGTCCGAGCGAGGTTTACCACATCAAGTTTTGCGCAGCAGCCACTGCCCGCCCCGGAAGAGGGGAGCGCGTCACTTCACAATGTGTGCCAATGTCAGCGTGAGGCAGGCAGCGTGAGGTTGCTTGTTGAAGTGTTTAGCAAACTTGTGTGTGGCTATGGCTTGAGTAACAAGGGAGCGTATCACCGGGGGCGGGCTCATGCAGTAGCAGGGTGGGAGCAGGGGCAACAAGTTGTTTTTGGCGACTAAGCCGACCCGAAACAGACCCTAAACCGACTAAACTAACGGCTGCCCCACCTTACAAGTTTTTGATGACCGCGTAACCTTGGTGACCGCCAACAATGTCAATGTTGGATGCGAGGTATTGAATCCTAGCAGTGCGCAATTGCCTCTGCGCTTTGTCTTGAACTTGAGAAATTATTGGCCAGGGAGGCTATTCGGGTGATCACCACGCGCGGGAGCTTGGGGCTGCGAGACAAGGAAGACATGGAGAAAACGAGAAAACAGGCAAAGTCTGAAACCGGGAAGTTAAACCGGCAAAGCGGGACGAGCGGACGGATGTCGGGGAAGGGCCGGACAGCTCAAGGCTGCCGGTGGCGATGGCTGTCTTGAATGGCGCCACTGTGGCGTGGCCCTCGCGAGAAATCAGAGGCTCACAGGCAAAATGTTCAACTGTGGCAACGCGCAAAGAGTTTGTAAATGCCACACGTGTAGAGTTCAAAACACATGCCATGAACTATCGGCGCCGTCCTGCGCCATCAAGCGCTTCAATTTCAATGCAATGTTCAAGGTGTTTACTCTGTTCGGCTGCCTCTTCACAAGTATCAGCCGTCTCCTTAGGCTGCTCTCAAGAGGGTCTGACACACGTAGTTTGCCCGCGCTGAGGCTGCGCTGCGTTCACTTTCTTCCTGACGACTTCACCAACTTTTTCGGCGCCAGATGCCGTGTGCCTTGAAGTGTGAAAGTCTATTTGAAGTGAGTGTCGCAGATGACACAAGATGCCACAGCTTGCCTTGCTGCGTGCCAGGTTCTACGTCGATGAACCCGTGGCGGTGGCAATCACTGCTGGGGTCATCGGGGCGATTGTGTCCATGCGAGGAGCTGAGCCATACGCGCGCCAGTATGCCAGGGAGAATAGAGAAACTTGGCGAGTGTTCTTAGGTGCTTCATGACAGTCTTTGATATGTCCACGGATTCGCTGCTGTACTTCTATGGTGGGAGCCTGACTTGCTAAGACTGCTGGACTCTATTTATTAGCTCTTGACCTCAGGTCTTGACTGGATAGAAGGTCGAAGAGGACATGACAGCAACGCGCCAGACAACATCAAGGCTCGCCGTCGCCACTGGTTCGCTGGGTTTTGCAACGATTCTTACAACCAAGATTGAGACGCCTGGAAGTCCTTTCTTGTGTTGCTTTCCCACTTGAGACACACGTGCCAGCGGGTGCAAGAAAAAAGGTAGAAAAGAGCAAGTCCCGAAATTCGACACATTCTTAAAGTCGCTTTGGCTGAGGAGCTGGTCCATGGTCGGCGCTGAGCCGCGTGCAGCGATGTGGGTTTGAGTCGCAGTTTGATTTGGTCGTTTGGGAAACGAGGGGTCCCTATGTAAGGAGAGAAGGTGCATATATATATATATACATGTATATGATGAATGTGTGAGGCGAGGTCATGTTGAGGTCATGCATCCCAGTACACCATGGATGCTGCCATGCACAATCCAGCAGGAGCGCAGACCCCCGCGAAAAACAACACCGCTTCACTTCACACACAGGTTCGCCGCTTCAGGCAAGCAGGTATGCAGTTGCTCCTGCTTCAACATGGTAGCGGGGCAGTTAGTAGAACGCCTGGGAAAGACCCTTGCCCTTCCCACACAGCCCACAAGTCTTGGCGGCCCAACAACGAAAAGAGCAACAGCATCAGCTGAAAGGACTGCACAAGTACAAGACAGCACCGCCACGGTTCTCAGGAGAGCGCAACACGTTTGAAGAATGCAAGTGCAAGATTACAGCGTAACTTGGAACACAAGGCCCTTCGCGCAACAGGCCGCTGAGACAGTCAGAGCAATCGCAACTGGCAGTTGCAAACGACCAACTTGAGACAGCAGCACTATCGCAAGCAGCAGTAGCAGAGCAATGGATACAAATTGAGCAACCGCTTACATTACATCTTGGTGAGCGCGCGCGATGGGCCCGCATCTACAATTTGCAGACAAAACATGCAAGGCGACGGCTTTGAGACATGGCGACTACTACACCTGAGATAATCCATACCAATGTGTACATGAAGCGTTGGGCGCAAATCAGATCTCTGGTGACATCAGGCAGCAACAACGGCCAAGAACCAGCGCCAATGGACACAGGGGCAACATGGTACAACAGAGGCAAAGGCAAGAAAGGCAGGCGCAAGGGCAAAGGAAAGTACAACAAAGACAAAGGCTACGGCGGCTACGGGAACAACTGCCACTACGACAACCGCAGAGGAGGAAAAGGCAGGCAGCGCGCTCGACAACCGGTTGGCCAAGGAAGCTCTTTCAATTGACAACAAGGATTCAGCAAAAGAAAAAGGATAGAACAATAAACAGAAGGCAACGGACTTTACAACAACCAAAGCAACAGGAAACCATGCAACAAACGTTTGCTACAGATGAAACAAAGCAGAGTGGCGATCTACAACTGCGACACTGGCAACTTCGATGCCCATGACCAGACAGCTGACTGGCGCAATCAGGCGCATAGTGACAGCAATTGGTACCACCAGGTGCAGACACAGGTACGACAGCTGGCGCTACCACAGCCAGCAGACTCATCAGCCGGCTCTAGATCGCAAGAAGTAACAATTGCCACGATTGGCGCAGCGCAGCAACTTGCAGAAGACGACAAATGGGTCAGTCTCATGATTGACCCCCGTGCGGCCACACACGCATGCGTGGTTTGCGTGCGCCACAAGTCCAAAACAGCGCAGGCAAAACAGGAAGACGCTCTTCGCACCAGCAAGAACACAGGCGCCCAGTCCCAACAGAACAACTTGAGGACCACAGAAGAACAGCCATCAGATTCAAACATGGTACAAGGAACGTGTTTGAGGACAAGCGTCAGACAATGGATGTTCCAAACAGAGCGCAGGCAGGCCGAACAATCAGCCAAGGAGAAACAGCAAGCTTGCGTTGCGCAGCTCGACTTCAGCTAAATTTAAGGCTTTGATGGCAGCAACGCACATCCTATAATATAACCAAGAAGGGGATGCTCTTCGACTACGCTGTGTCAAGAGTAGAGCACTTCCTGATTGAATGTGGAAGAACATCACACACACACCTTGCTGCAGTGAGTTAGGAGGGACTTCCTTACAGCCTTGGCCACAAGGAATTCAGGAGCACACAGTTTGCAATCGCAAGGCGGAGTAGAGGGAGCGCACAGAGCGCAAGTCAGAACACTCAAGGCGTAGACCAAGCATAACTACAACAAATACTAGACTCCCATGTTGGATGAACAGATGCGCGATCCACAGCAACAGAGAACAACACACACACAGTTTGGTGAGACAGCGCAGCACATGCTGCCTACAACCAAACAACTTCCAAAACTCGGGCCAAATTTCTTTGCAAACATCTGGCTTGGCAAGGATACAACCACAGGCAAATCCATCATTGGGACTTACAACAGGGTTGCCAGTGGGCTGTGTGAGCGGACGCAGGTCCATGGAAGAAACCAGCGTCAGCACTCCCTACACCTACTCTCGCAACACCAGTGACAATGCCAGCGACAGGCAAGGCACCTAGGGGGGCAGCAGAGTGAACTGCCAGCAAAGCAGCAGAAGACAGCTGGGCCAACATCACCCATGGCTACATCACCAACGCACCAGAGGAAAGCAGTGCCAGCACCACCGCCTACATCACACACAAGAAAAAGAGATGACGCCAGGCAGCGCAGGCAAGCGACAGCGCGCCGCAGCAGACAGACACGCGCTGGAACAACCTGCAACAGCAGAACAGCGAAAAGTCAAGATGGCAGACAAATGGAGGCCGCATCCAGCGAGGACGTACAAGTCACACATGACGCAGAAGGCTTGAACCCGCAACTCGTTTCACAAGGCATGAAGAAAGAAGTACAACGAATGACCGACCAACCAGTGTTGGTGGCGACAACATGACTCCAGAACAACAAGCAAACATCATTGAACCAAGATGTGTTCTCAACCAAAAGCACGACGAAGTACGAACACGAGTTGTAGCAACAGGATACACAGACAAGGTTTCTGCATGACACATGTTGAACATTGACTTACATGTTCCGCAGCTTTTGCGTTCTAAATCAGGGGGACGCATGTCCGAGATACGGTACACGCCAGCGGTATTTCCCAGACGAACGCGGGTGTCGTCGCAACTTCAGGGTCGCGAGCTTGATTCTGGCTTGCCCTGACGCACCGCACCCCAATTTGGTGGTACCAGTCTAGGTTGATGTCAGCTGACTCAACACAAGGGGCGTACTAACTTGGGACCGCCGCGGCCCCAGGCTCTGGTTAGTATTTGAGGTTGTAGGCCGCTGCCTCGGTTTACGCGTGTCAAGTTTGGAAAAAAACTAGAGGCGCGCAAATCAAAAGCGCGTTCTTTACAAGATTCCGCGCAAGTCGGATCTGCGTTCGACGCAGCGTAGAGGCTCGAATTATCAGTGTTTTAGAAGAGACGCTTTTTGCTCACGCTTGACTCGGAAGAATCCGCGCAAGTTGCGCGAAACTCGACGTCTCATCTCGTGACCGGCCGCCCTTTAAGGCCACTTTTCCCATTGTGTTTCTCCTTCTCCCCTTCCTTTCTCCCTGCCGTGTTCCATCATGAGGGCAGCGGGCGAAGACGGAACCCGAAGACCCGATGGATAGTATGACCTTGTACCAAATCAACAACTTCTCCAGGGAATTGGTCAAGTGTTTGAGGCACAGGATCGGCAAGCCAGTGAATCGTGACGATGATCCGGGCAAGAGGCGACTACAGTGTGATGACGCCGGATGGTCAAGTTTTCAAATCTTATCGAAAGCCCAAATGTCATGGAGCATATTCCTGATGAACGACCAAGGACCACAAACATGGTAGCAGCAATGTGTATCGAAATGATGCGGGGTGAGATTTGGAAGTTTTTGACAACGCGGTATTCGATCATCTGTTGGAGGGTCGGTTCCGGGGACAGGAAGCAATTTGGTGATGACTTCCGGATTGACGATTTGGGGTGTGCTGCGGCCTCCCATTTGTTTACCAGAATGCGGCTAAGCACCTATGGCCGGTCAACGACTTTGCTGCAGGGTGAATCGGTGATTTGGAAAGAAAAATCAATGAGGTACTGCTGGCGGGCTTGTAGGCTTCCTACACTCACACGTGTGTAGTTCCAAACGGCCCTCTTGACGCATCAGACCATGGACGTGCAGGCACCGCTCTGGGTACTGGAAAGCGTTACCGCACGTTTGCAAGTTGTGATGAAGTTTTGGGATCGCAACTTTTTGAGCCTTGCTGCGCAGAAGGCCATGCAATCTCATGTTTCGGTACAAGCTGAGTACTGGTGATTTGGATTTTGGATTATGAGCTTCGGGGTTAGAAATGTGGGAGCCAGTGGCTGCGGGGCTTGGCCATCAGTCCGGGTGATGCTATTATTGTAGGGGGTCGCCGCTTTCTGATTCTTGCGCAGAAGGCGATGCAAGGATGAGCAGTCTCCAGGTCTCAGTACAAGCTTGGGACTGGTTCATTAATTCATCAGTGAGTTATGTAAGTTAGGAACGAGTTGTTTTGATTGTGGGGGAGGTTTGAGTTGAAGCGAGGTCAGGAAGGACACTGTTAAATAAGGTTCAAACTGCTTTGATATTGGCTCAATTGAATTTAGTATCGGAGCCTGGCAACAAATTTCTTTTGACTTTGGGGGTTTTCTGCTTCGAGTACAGTGGGTCGTGTCGTGAGCAGTTGGTAACTTTAGTTTTTGGACGAATGATGTTTCAGTATTGGCAAGTTTTTGGAGTCCCGAAAAAATTCTTCAAGTGTGGGAGGGTCGATTAATCAAAAGTACCTGCGTGAACAAGTATCGCATACAGCCATTCACCGCCAGAGGAGGATGGGGAGGAACGCGTGAACAACATGGACTGCGCAGAAGATTTTTGGCAGTACGTCTTTGCGCATGAGTGGCATGGCCGAACAGCTGGGTTTGACACCACGTCCGACAAAGGAGTTGCGCAGTGAGAGCGCACCTTTGGCGCAGTGGCTACATTTTTTTGACATTTCAGGAAAATGTTTACGACGTTGTTATCCTGAGGAAGAGTGTTAAGATACATGCGTCCCAACACACCATGGGTGCTGCCATATACAATCAAGGCCTTGAGCCTTAGCGCAGCAAGAGCGCAACTTCACACACAGGTTCATCACTTCAGGAAATTAGGTGTACAGTTGCTCCTGCTTTCATACATGTATCTCCATATGCATGCAAGACCAAGAGGCTCCATCCTTGTTTCGCTGGACGACTGGCCAGGGACCTCAAGGGCGGGAAGGGCGGAAGTTCCGCGAGGGCGCTTTCCAGCGTGCCCTCAAATTCGGCAATTCGAGTTATTCCGAGTTGCAATTCGCACGGCTTTGCATTTCGCATTTGGA